ACACACACATGCATATCTTCCCACCAGAATCCAGAGGTCCCTCGTGAAAGATTCAAAACAGGCCCATCGGAAGCACTGGGGGGAAATATGCACATAGTCAACAACATGTGTGGAAATTCTGAGAGGAAAATTGATGAAACTCTCATTAGTGTCTATACCCTCCTGAAAACTCCTATAATTAGTGAGGAAACTTCTGAGCTCAGCTGAGCCAAGCCGAAAAAATTTATTCCAACACTCACCTGAATGCCCAGCGCCACTCCACAACGTCGTTATATTTCGCTTTCACCATCTGGAACAAATCGATCAATTTCACAAACCGTGAAATCTGCATTTTGAAATAATCGAACTCCAATCTCCTCGTAGTTTGCTGAGATTCCGACAGCGGAGCGAAGTATCTTGAAAAAAAACATATCCAAGGTTCCTCCGCGTAAGATTCAGATCATGTCCACTTACTCCGTCAACCCACCAGTGAGCTTCGGGACCACCTTCAAGGCCGTCACATACGGCAGTTTATCATCAACCGTAGAAGTCTGCTTATTCTCAGAAGCCACTACTGCGCACCACCTGGAGAGAGAATCTTAGGTTCAAGCGTGTAAGATTCAGATAAGGTACCTTGCGCCTGCCAACTGATCTTCCGACTCAATCGTCCATGGCAAATTTCTACGCATATCATATTTCATAATTGAAGTCTCGCCGATCAGCAAACCCGTTTGCGGGTGAAACACATGCAGCACCTAAAAACAGTGTGAGCAAAAAACGTCATTAAAATTTTGTAAATTTCTTATAAACTTTTTGCCGGAAAAAAAGGGTCAGTGTGGGAAAATATGCACATGGTCAACTATCAGTTTTGGTGAGAAAAGAAAAATTTTCAGGAAATTTTGGGGAAATTTTTGGGAAATTCTCACTTATTTTTGCGCACTTCTACCCAAATTCGCACGCAACTTCGTATACTCAGTGAGCTCAGCCGAAAAAAGCCCAAGCATGTCTATGGGCCTAATCCGTATCTTCCACTCAGCAACCTAAGATACCTCTCCCGCACCCTACCAATTTATCCTGTGGTCTTCGCTGATACAACGGTATCTCAACCGGAGCCTCCAACGTCGGCTGGACCTGATCCGTATCTTACACGCTTGAACCTAAGATTCTTACCTCAGCACACACATCCTCCGATCGATCACTAGCCGGCGACCCCAGCTCTTCCCCTGGCATCACCGAAATTTCCGACCAACGTCGTCGCCGATGCGCTTGTCCTCCTTCAGGTGGTTCTAACAAAACAACTACTTAAGAGTCGTACAAGAATCTTAGGCGATATCATATACGCGATGATATAAAAACAACTACATATGAAAACTAACCTAGGGCGTTCGGGGTCTCCAACGTTGTTGTTGTCGTTGCTTCGCTGTCCAGATGATAATCGATCACAGGCACACGAGCTGAATAGAGAACGAAAAAGAATCTGCAATTTTTTCGTGTGCAGTTCGGGAAAATATGTTCACATGGTCAACTACATGTGTTGGTGATGACAATATGAAAATTCTGGGAGGAAATTCTTATTGGTTTCTGTACACTTCTACCCAAATTCATATATAAACTTTTATAACTAGTAAAAAAACTCCTGAGCTCAGCTGAGGAAAGCAAACATATATTCCTCCAGCATCTGGACCTACTCAAAGTTGACTCCAATTCAGCATACACTACCGGTGGCTGCATACAAGCAGGCCGAGCCGACGATACGAGGTAATCAACAACGCGGATGCTCGCTGTCATCAACGGCTGATCCCAGGGGGGGAGTAGGGGATCTAATACGAATCGTAGGAGAATTAAGATTATCAACAATTACTACTTGTTGGTATTCCCTCGTACGAAATCGGACTGAAAATGACAGTAATAGAATCAATGGAGTTTCACCATATCGAAAAACACCAATAAAATATCTATTTCACGACTACTGCATATCACCGCGAATATCGAGTTCACGTAAAACGGATCGTGAAACTCCAATGTTAGACTCGATTTCAAACCTATTTTTATTAGAAGTTTCGTTTCCCATCCGGCTAGCCCTGTCCATCGCTTGAATCCAATCGTTGGCGAAATCCAAAGTAGGTGCGGAGAAATAAAGAGATTCTGAAAAGCGATGACATGCAATTCCGCACAGGCTTAATTTAGTAGTGTATTAATGAAGTTTCACCACCCTAGTGATATGAAAAACACATTTCACGACTACTGCATATCACCGCGAATATCGCGTTTTTCACCGAGTTTTACGACGCCACTTTACGTAAAACGGGTTGTGAAACTCTAGTGATAAAATGGAGTCTCCTTCACCCTAGTGATACGAAAAACACTAGTGAAAAATATATTTCACGACTACTGCATGTCACCGGGAATATCGCCTTTTTCACAGAGTAGTAATCCTTACGTGAAATGGATAAAGCTCCAACATAGTAGTACTCAATGGAGTTTCACCACCCGTTTTACGTAAAGTGGCGTAATACTCCATGTGGAAAACGCGATATGAAGTGAATTCAAAACACTTCACGAATCGCCCCATTCGACGTGAAACATTTACGGAGCGTTTACCGTGTTTTACGCGTTATTCGCTGCTCACATGCGTTTTTCGCAAAA